TCAGTGCACCAGCCTAAATCCAGGGRAGTTCGGTGTGCATGAATCCACAAGACTGTGATACACAGCAAGATGAGATGCAGGCACACAGCCCTTTTGGCAAATGCTGCTAGAGAAGAGGTAATCTCCAAGGAGAAGAGGCAGACAGCCAGGACAAAAGGGAATATTGTAAAGCTGCTRTAGCTTTCTTTTTTATGACTGAATCAAAGACTTTAGGATCGTTACTCTGAGATGGAGTTTCTCAGAGACAGTATYCTAATAATTCAAGATTATTTAAAGCTACACCAACAATGAAAGGGAAGTTTCACCCTTACCCAACACTTGGTCCTGTCAAGAATCAACGCTGARGGGATCTGGCTGAAAGTGAACCACACAAATAACAACGAAGAACCAAAACAAAACCACCCCTTGTTTACAGAGGGATCACTGAATGAGCCCAGCTCCCCACACGTCAGCACTGACAGACACTGAAGACAAGAATGTCCAGGGAAGCAAAGGCAGGAGGAGAACAGAACATGAAGGATGAGTAAAAGTGACAGAAGCTTGAAGTGTCAAAAGTTYAGGCTCACCAAAGCAGTTCTTTGCCTCTTCCACTAATGTGGTATTTGGATAAAGTTCATTAGACTGCAATTTCCCCTCTCTACCTTTTTGAAAGAAGTAGTGAACCCTGTTCATATTGACCAAACTATGGCTTAATGTTTTTCTCCTGTTTACTATAATGACTGAAAAGAATTCTATTATCTAAAATCCCAGTACATCGGATTTTATAAAAATTAAAAAAGGATAGTGATATAAAAAACACAGCAACAAGACAAATATTACAACAAAAGTACCATTAACATGTGCTGTGGATGTTACTTCCAAAGCCAGGTAACTCTCAGCTGCTACCTAAAGGGTGCTTCTTGCTCCATTCATCCAAATCCTGGCTGCATGCTCCTGCAACATTTTTTTGTATCACAATTGGCAAGTGTGTGGGTACAGGATGAGTTGGTTCAGGGAACTGACATGATGGAAAACTAACCCTCCAATGAAAAACAGAGAAACTTCACAAATAAAAAAAAAATCTGCTAGATCAAGTCAATGAACTAATTCATTCTGGAGTGAAGAATCACTTGGTCCATTGTAATCAGAAAGGAAAGGAATATATGGCTGGATGTAGAGGGGATGTGGACTGACCTTTTCAGTAGCAGCCCACCAGCACAGCAGTTTTACTGTAMTATTTTATATAGATATATAGATATRYAMACACMCATGCCAAGATTAGCCCTTACAGTGTGAATTGTGCAATTCTATTTCCCAGCATTTCCTTCTTCCCCATCCCAATCTGATATCACGTACAATAAGTCTTTAACGTATTTAAGATAACTAAATTCCACATAAGGTCTTGTACTAATCTTTACAAATTGCTGCTATCTGAAGTTTTCATTCTACATTTCAACAGACACASTATTTCAGCAGCATACACTCCAGTGGGATAAGTCTCCTGTTAATTACAGCTAGGTGTTCATGTTTCAATGACAGAATCAGAAGCCTCTTCCTAGCATAATCAAAACACAAGCAAATCCTGTCACTTATGCTCTTAAGAGTTTTAAGAATGAAAATTCRCTGATTGTCCRAAAGTGTATTACAATTACACCATTWATAAATCAGACAYGTATGAGGAAGATGAAATMGTTTCCTTTTACTTCCCTTCTGGGGATTTACTGGGTACATATTTAGCACTTTTCTTCTTCATGTGTATCTGTGAAGGGTTTTCTTGTTTGGTTTGATTTTTTAAGAGCAATATTCTACTGGAAAATAATATTTWTGTATAATATTCTCTGTAACTTAACAAGGCTCAGTGGAAACCCTAAGATTTTTTTAACYAAGACAGGATCTTCTACTCACCACTTTCTTTTCTGATTTCATACAAATGSTAATTTCAAATTTTCACTTTAATATCGTCTTTAGCTTAACCTCCTTCATGCTTCCCCTAGAAGTGCTTCCTCTCAGAGATTCTAGTATAAAGCYGATGTGGTTATCAATGAATACTCCATTGTTTGCACATTTTCAAATGCTCATAAGCCTTCCACCCATTTCCATTTCCACTGTTTCTCCAGATAACCCATTTCCAATTTTCCATTTYAGCTCTCTACATAATAATAATTGAGAAAATATCGTCACTGACAAAGATGACTAATGTCTCCAGAGCTCATATATATTTCCCTGGGTTTCCTCTTCTGCYATGTTCCCAAAACTGTCTTCTTTTTCAAGATAAAACGATTCAAGATTACAAACACAGTTTGGTAAAACAGGAAACAATGGTTTTATGTTTAAACTTAACATTAATCAGCCAGCCCATTCTTCSATCTTTTCCTTAAGACTTCCAATTTGCTTATGTAATTTCAATAACTTGCTATATTGTTTCTTTAATAGAGATTTCCCTTYCTCCAAAATGCTTATTACTGCCTGCAATCCAAGTTTTACATATAACCACAGACACACCCATTTATAAATACATCCTAGAAAATGATGTATCAATAGATTTTCTTCCAGTTAATTTCATCTCTGCTCCTTAGAGGTGCTCTCAAATATTTTATTAGTTTGTGTTTAGAGCTGATTTGAGAGAGACTGTCTAACTCACTCTAACCTCTTACACAAGGCATCACAGAAGGATTCAAGCTGGTTATCCTAGCTCGTGATGCTGAGGTTTGTGCTTGTGAGTATCTCAAAAGCAAWCTAATTATAATTTTTCCTAAGGTGCAGGACATAAAAATTGTATTTCATAGATGGCTACATCCCTTGAAACTCATGGTTTAAGCACAGTCGACCTCAGAGATACACAGAATAGCCTAAAAAGCAGTGAAAAGGAAAAAAATAAAGGGCTGAAGACAGGTGAAGGAAGAGACTTGTGATGAGTGAAGAAAATGAGCACCARGCTGACATAAAACTGGTTCCCAGTAATGGCAAAAGGGACCACTGAGCCTGATTTGTCTTGACAGAGCTCAGGAATGAAAGCTTGACCCAGAACATAAATCAGCATAAAAACTGTTAAAAAAAATAAATAATCGTTAAGGCTTGACTAAGTCAATCACAGTCACAGCAACACACGAAAGTGAAAAAAGTCTCCATTAATGTATAGTTAAGTRTTTTTATAAAACACAAATAGGTCCTCAAATCCAAGGGTGTGAGCTAATTGAAGGTTTAAAAGAACTTGCATCCAACATAGTGGCATTATTCAAACCCAAACAACATACAGAAGAAAACAAAACACAGCCTTTTTTTCAGCCCATGACAGAATATGCTGAGTGTATCAACAGAAAGGTCTTCTGGGTGGTCTTTTGTAGGGCAGAGTTTAGAATTCCAGCCTACTCACTGCTCAACTGCATAGAGAAAAGCAGACACACACAAAGTGCAGATTCTTTGCCTTTCTTCTGGACTGCCAAAAACGTGAAAAACTCAGTGGCAATCAAACACTCCTCCAGTCTGGCAAAGTACTCARCTGGAGTATATGACCAATCTGGTACAAACATGCTGTAGGAGTTCTGGAACAACAAAACAGTCTGGAGTGGACCCTTTAAGTAAGAGTGGTATGAATTAAATAGATGGTCCAAAATATCTGAGGGTCTGCACCCATCTTGCCAAATCAGGGAAGATGCTTAGKGATAATTTTCTCTTACTCTCTCCTACCAACAGGTCTGTGCACATGTGKTGCATCTGTAAGTAAACTCCCAAGACTTAATTATTGATTAGGTTATGATCCCAGTAAGAGACATTTTGTTTTCAAATATGAAAGTGTTTAAACTTGCTTTCTAAACAAGGACTTTCCATAGATCAAGATCCAATTTTGAAACAGAAAGGCTAGAATCCATAACATTGTATTTTTTAATTTCTTCTCCTTCCTACACAGAATCACAGAAAAACTAAAGCAAACTACTCAGCTTTTATTTTATTGAAAGATTAAAAATATCAAATGGGGGAAATTGGATAGCTCAGAAAAGTTATTTAAGCAGAAAAAAACCCCCATAATTATTTCTCAGTCAAAATGCAGGATTTTCTCCTTAAAGCATTAAGTAGTTTTCAAGACAACACTGAAAAAGCAATACTTTTCAAAATAGCGAAGTACTTCTAGAGCAGAGAGATTATTTTTTTCTGACAGTATGAAAAACATTTGCTTSATTCTGTGACATTTAATGATATGCACACTAAGCTAGGAATCATGACAAGAAAATCTGCAATTAGCATTATAAATAGGAACACCCTTCCCGGTATTAAGAAAAAAAAAGAAGAGTTGAATGAGTAAAGGAAAACCCTTTTTTCAAGGGTCAAAAACACTTTAATACATGAAAGATCAACTCCAAAAATCCACCCAGACCTCAGGGTGTAATTGTGACCCTCAGTGTGAGCCAYAGAGCAGCACCTGGGCCCTTGTGAGCACTCCTGAGGCAATCAGCACTTAACTGCAGCATAAAATTCAGAAGCCTTTGACCCTGATGAAGYCTTCTGGATGAAATATTTAAGTAGAATTGCTTATGGTATTTAACCACACACCAGTGCCTTTTCCTCCATAAATGTTTGGGGATTTTTTTCCCAGCAGGGCCAGAACTGATCCACTTGAGTTGTGCAGAGAAAGTGCTAAGAGAACATACAACAAACCCATGGACATTACAAACAGCTACATTATAACTTTGGAAAGCAAAATGTTACAAGGACAAAATAGAATGGAAAAAAAAAGATACTTAAATCAAGATGCTAAAATCATACCCTGCTTTCCACATACATTTTTTTYCCTCTAAGTGTTATAAAGCTCAGAAAATGCTGAGCTTTCAAAATTCCCATTTTTGCCTGCCTTAGGCTCACTTCAGGATGTYCTTTTGAATACTTTGGCCCAGCTGCTAATGGCACTTTCTAGTGCCAAGGTGACAGTAACAAATACCTGAATAATTTACATCTATATATATAAATGAACATGCCTCTCACTTCTGTAAAACACCCAAAAATTTATAGAACGGTTTTGTACATACCAATACACCATTCTCACATATCCAAGCACTTGGATCAAAGTCAAGTTTATTGACACAAACTACAAATTTCTCTGGAAACACACGGAGCTCTACACAAAAAGAATTGAAAAGAGGATTAAAAAARATACAACCACTTTCAAAACCACTTTCATAACAACAACCTATACACAAATTATTTTAGTACACAAAATTACTTGTTTTTTAAATTGCACACTAGCTCATTTCATGCACCCCTCTAGCTTCTCACCTACTCTTTTCAATATGCCACCCTCCTTTTGTTTTGTTTTTATAAAGCATTTCAAAAAAATCAATAAGTAGATTAAACTGAGTTCCCAAGAGGACAGTCAGGGCTGCAAATTAGTCCACCTGCASCCCTGGACAGAAAGACCAGACAGAACCAACACACAAACCACTTAACAAGGATTTCTTTTGCGCTATTCTGGTGATGAGTCTTTTCATCACAAAAGCTGTAAATTAGGTTTGTAGCCCAGAACAACATTCAATGAGGGCTTGGCATCAAACTTCAGCATAAGGCCGAGGCAGAGTGTTTCACACTCTGACTACAAAGATTTTTRAAGTCATTAAACAAATTGGTTAACTACTACTGAATTACACATTTTACTCAAGATCACATGGTTTGTTAGGAGCACAACAAAGTTTCTATTTACAAAGGATTAAAATTGAAGGGTTCTCAGATTAGAAACAATGAGACAAAGCTTTATTCAGTACCTGGCAATATTATGGGAAGAGCACAGCTGGATACTTTTCTTGTTTTACATATGAAATTATTTCCAGATCAGTATCTTTGTATTTTCAGCTCTGATTTTTTTTTATTGCTGGTTTTTGTTTTGTTCTTATAGAAAGAGAGTTAATAACTTTTTAAGTTTTGTATACTTCAGAATGAAGCCATAACACTATCTTTGTGGGACAAGAAAGAAACAAGGCTTGCAGAAAAAAAAACATTAGGTTGATCTCATAGATATTTTTTGTAGAATTGAAGAGTAGGGCAACATGTCATTCCAGTAACATGTTTGYAATGTTTTATTTTATAACAAGCTCATCTGCTGGCTAGCAAAATGCAGGTATCTTTAGGTATTCCAGTTCAAATTKAATGGACAGTAAACAATGTTGAGATACCAATGCAGACTCTCTGCCATTCTATTCTAACAGGACAAGTTTGATGAAATATTTAAATTCAACACTCTGATTGATCTCTTCAGCCAATATGGACTTTAAAAACAACCAGTCAGCATTTGAAGACAGATTTAAACATTTATGAATATAATGAATTCCTATAAAAACAAGAAATTCCTTAAAAATATCCATTCAAGTATTCACTATTTTGAAGAATTTTTCTTTTTTTTTTTTTTTTAGTGCAAAAAAGGTCAGCACAAAGGGCAGTGATCATTCTAGCTCCTTTGCATTGCTGTTGGCAGGACAGGATTGATATCACTTCCTTCCAGAGCATCCTGGCTTGAGAAAACATAAAGAAAAGGTCCAATGACATCACCTGTGTAAAGATTTTATAGCTCTGAGGTGAACGAAAGCCTTTCCTGCATGCACTTGTACTGTGTGTTGATGTCACAAGACACTCGAGCAGTAATGAAGTGATTCATGCTGCAACCTCTGGTTGATTCACCCTGCACAGACTCAGGAAAATGCTGAGTCTCATCATACTTACAGAATTTTGGTGTGGCTGAGCTGATTACCCTGGGGCAAGGCATACACAAATTTAAAATTGAGCTTAAAAAGAAAATGCATCTTATCTCAAGAAACTCTTCTCTTTTTTTTTTTCTTTTTCAGGAAAAAAACAAACAAAAAAGACCTCCAAAAAACCCAAGCTCTGAAAAAAAAWTTTATTAAGTAGACCAAAATATGACAAAGTATTAGTTATGTTCCCTTTATTTCTCTTCTAAGTAATTTTATAAGAAACTGATTTCTTACCACGATAACGTTTCCCTAGAGCACAACGGAGATTAACCCATCTCTTCATAAAGTAGGCAGTAATGTGCAAACTGTTGGCTGCAACATAAAACAGAAGGATAATATTAACTGTAAGGGTATCTTGGGCATTCAGCTCTCAAAGTGCTGCACATATGCTAAGACAGGATTGAGAGAAGGCAGCGGCAGCTCAAGAATACAAAGGAAAATTTCACTTTAATGGAATATTTTTCAAAAGAACTTGCTGAATTCTCATAATGAAGTCTCAAGAAATTAGTGTCTGAAACAGGGCAAAAATCTACACAAATGAAAAACCAGCAAGTTCTGAAAACCAACCACAGAAATAAATTTAATCTCATTAATTGATCAGAGGTGTCATTTGCTTAATAGTGTGGTGCCATGGACACTAGTGCTGTACACAATGCTTTCATATCTATTCTACAAGAACAGTCCAGATGTCCATTTACTTCCCTGCCTTCTAGAAGAAGGTGACATACTTAAAGCTGGTAGAAAAAAGAACCCAAAAAACTAGCTATAAACAAAACCTCACATGAAAGGGCTTAATTATCGACAGTTCCATTGAATGAAGTGAGAAATGCCCACATTTGAACTCCTCAGTGTGTACTGTAGCCAGAGCTGGCCTGGCTGACTCAGCAGSTACCTGTAACCTCCAGAGGCATTTCCAGTTTCTATTCCCAAGAATGACAGAAATCCTTGTGAACCAGGAGTGTAAGAAAAGGACATTAAGGATTACATTATGGCTGAGAGAATATTAGACCAAGGAAATCAGCTTTTACTTTTGTTCTACTTAAATTCCCAAATGACCTGAGTAAATCAGTTAGCACTTGATTCATAAAGGTATTTAGCAACTTAACTCCCACTAAAAGTGCAAAAACCTGGCATCTGTGACTCATCCTTCCCAGTCTCTCTGTGCACCTCACTGAAATGAAAGTGTGAAAGAGGGTTAGAGGTATTTCCCTTAACTTGGATGGGGGTTACAAGACTTAAATTACTGATGCTTCTGAAACAGTCAGCTACCTTAGGTGCAATTAGCACAGATAAGTTAGAATATTAAGTGCTAGTGCTGTTCCTCTAATGCAGCCATTTAAAAAGAAGGAAAACTTGYTGGTTCCAGTCTCAATCCCTACTGAGCAAGTGCCAAGGCATGCCTTATTTCTAAGTAAAAGCCCCAAAATGAACATCCTCTCCTGCAGGGTCAACCACTCTCTGATTTCTACCAGATCTTCTGGAGTTCACCATCGAGTGCTGTTCAGCCTCACCTCTCATTAAGAACTATCACAATCAATCCCTTTGAAATTTATCAGCCATCTTTTTTCCTTCCCCTCAGGAAGAYACCCAAAATTTGACTTCCTTTTAGAGATCAAGTCAAGATGTGACAAGTTGAACCATCCCTTAAAAACGATGAGCACTAGAGAAAAATTTGGATGTAATCCACCAKCTTTATTAACTGTTTGCTTAAAAGAACAATTAAGGAAAATGACTTTTAGCTATTTCCAGTTTGGCATCTGCAATTCTTTATCACTGCTGGTAGGCTTAGTCAAATCAAARAATTTGCCCTGTATATAAATAAGTTATTAGTGTGATAACAACATCCTCCACTGTGACCTTGGAAAGCTGAGAAAGTAACATTCCTAAAAATACAACTTGGAAAACAAATCTTCAGACAGTAAATGTTAAAWGTTTTTCTTTCCACCTCAATTTGTCTGTGATATTCCACATATTTTGGGGTTTTTTCTTGAAGGAATCTAAAATGAAAAAGTGTGAATTTTTGTTTTTCACAGGAAAAGCAGGATACTTCATTCTTGAAATTCTTTTATAAATCAGTGACATGTACATCTGTTTATTTTTTTTTTGCTGTCCTGGTATTCTCTGAGAGGTTAAGAGTTTAATCACATGTGACTGAACAAAGTTTCAAATTCTTCTTTAAARGCCTTTGATTCAGCCAGCGACTGTTCTGTGGAAAAGAACACCTACCACAGATTTGACAAAATAATGAATTATGTAAGAGATCGAGACACCTCTACAAACTATTTTTACAGCTTCAGCTCAAGTCTGAAAGTCTTATAAAGGCTTCACAGGGAATTGCCCCTGACTAATAAGCTCAGCCCAGTGGGACCAACACCAGAAAATCATTTTCATTTCCATGATTATTTACTGCTTGGCTGAAAAGGCCTGAACAGATATTTRCTGTTACTTGTTGCTAACCCTCAGAAAATATTAAGATGCACTACATTTACGATACCTGTATTTTGAAAATATACACACAGCTACACTCAAAAAATGTTTTGAAACCCTYTAGTACATGACATATGATCTAGTCTGTAGTCAGCTGGAGTTGTTTGAAAAGTTTTGAAGTTGTCGAAGTTACTGCAAAACTATAAAAATGGTGAAAACCTCTTTAACCTCCTTTTGAGGAAATGTATTATCCAATTAACCATTCTGMTTCATGAAATAAGACACTAAAAATAAGCAAACCTTCTTATCCAGGAACTCCATACAACTCACAGCTTTTTAAACTTTCTACAGTTACTCAGCATGAGTTTAAATCTGTTCATGATATCATGGAAGGACAGACCAGCTGATATGTACCAAATGCTCCATCACTAACTCTTTTTGAGTACAACATAGAAGTTTGAACCTCAAGCTACTGATGATTTTGCTTCCACTAATGTATAAAATTCACAAATCCTGGGCTCAGCAAACCTTGTTGATCCCATCTTCAGTTTCCTCTTTGCCATGCAACACAGACAAAGCTCCATTTGTCATTACCAGCACACAGGCAGAAATAAAACTGTATTTAGTAACTTGGAGYTTTGTTTTTCTTGTTTGAAAACTGGGGACTTAAATAATCAAATCCAAAAATAAACAAGAAAAACAAAACAAAACTAAACAAACCAACCCCAACAAAATAAATAGACCCAAAATGAGATGGCATAAAAGTGGTTCTAGAAAAGCCACAGCTCAGTTTCAGCTGAAATAGGCACCAGTGACTGCTGCCTTTTAAGGGAAAAGTAAYTTGCCCTGCTTGCTGCATTTCAGAGTCCCACAACACTGAGAGGAAGTATCAGACACCAACTCTCCGCAACACTGGGAAACACTTGTTTTCCAAAGGAGACACAGCCAAGCTGACTGGAGGTTCCAGAAGGCTGCCAAGAGGCAGCTGAGGTGCAGTGTGGAGCAGTGGGAAGCTCTCTCCCACGGCTCTTACGGACCTTTCATGGGGGAGCCTGGGAAAATGCCTGAGTTGCTGAGTTATCTGCAGCAGCCTGGCAGGTGTTCACTCCCCAGCACSATCTGGCACCTGCCTGGCTCCCCACTTCTCTCCAGTCTTGTCCAAAGCCTCAGCACAAGCCTAAGGCTGATTGCCCCCAAAGCATTTCCATATCTGACAGGCACCTATTTCAATATTTTCAGTCTGTTACACCATCCTCCAGCCCAGACACTTCACATTTCTGACAGGTTGTTGTGGATTAGGACTGACCCTACACTTGGAAAGTAACAACAAAATAAATCATTGCAACACATATATTGAAAATGTCAGAGGATAAATTTTTAACGTTACAGTGTGAAAGTAAATACGTGGGTGCATTAGACTTTCTGAAACACTGTATTGTACATTAAAAAAATTTCTACACTTAGCTCATGCTGGATTAATTTTTCCACACAGATTAGGCTATACTAGTAATAATGTTTACAGTATACAGAGCTTTTCATCTTCAAAGTGCACCACAGACATATTATTACACTGCTTTTTAGCACTCACCTTTTTCCACTTAAAATTATTCACCACAGAATCACAAGTCCTGATCATTTGTAAACAAAACAAAAAAGGAACATTTTATTGTAAACCAACTGTTAATTGTGCAGCTTCCCTTCCCAAAACAAATGTCCAGCTCCATACCATGTGCTCCAGAGCAGGTTGCCATTGCTAGCTTAGAAGAGATTCAAAAGCAAATACTGGCATTTTAGTTTAAAGCCATGTCTAAGACAGGGACAGCAGATGCAASATATCAGATACAAAAAGTTGTTGAGACTTAAAAAGCCTTTTCTGGAATACCACTTGGTATTTTTTAAACAAGAAGCATCATCACCCAGTTCAAAGTGTTATRCACCATGGAGTGGGCTTCAAAACAACTGAAATGTGTCAGGATGGCATCCATTCTTTCCATACAATCTGCATTCAGTTCAAAAGATGTGATTACCCCAAGCAAGTACACAGGAAAATGTGTACTGATCAACATAAAATCAAGTCCAGAAACATCTTAAAAAAAGTTTAATACCTCAGGAAAAGTATTTGGACCATTCAATTGATATATGTAAAGAAAGGACAAAAAAATACTTGCATGTAGTATTGAATGAGTATTGCTGCAGAGTCTGAGTGAGTATTGATGCTGCCAACTCTTCTACCTGCAAGTAAATCCAGTGATGTAATTTGCCTCTGTCTTTTCCAGGGTGCGTTACAGCAGCTTAAACCAAGTGCACACAGAACCAAGCCAATGATTTTTTTTCACCTTTTTTTCTTTCATAGTTTGTTTAGCATTAGTGCTCCTGTTCTATCTGCTAAATCTTCTGAACACAGGCTAGTTGCCAACACAAATAGGTGAGAAATCCTTCCCATCAAGGACCTGTGGACAAGATTTTAGTTCATATCTGGGAACAGGGTCCCTGACTGGAAGAAAGACATGAACCTTTCAAGGATTGTGATTATAAGAGGATGGGATAGGCCTAGAAAATCCTCCCTGCTATCAGAACCTGGATAGCCTAGACACAGTACACTGTCTAAACAATTCAGAACACGAGCCACAAACTGCAAAACTGGGCTGACCCATTCTGTGAAATCCTAGAGTAGGGTCGTAGGGCTCCTCTCTAGCAGGAGAGGTGGGGAATTCACTGCAAAACCAGAACTATGCTGGCCAAACTGGATCCAGGATAAGGCTGGGCCTAGCCTGGCTGGCAGTGGTGTTCTGGAGGAAAGAATGAAGAAAAGCACATCTGAGACCATCTGGCTGCAAGATGATTAATACCCCTGATGGAGGTCCTGGGAACACACCAGCTCTGAA